TAGGATTTGTCCTTTTCCTCACACGTCTTTCCTTGTAATAGGATAACACTGAACTTTATTCTTAAATAATCTTAACTTTATTAAGTATTCGGAAAGCAGCATTACAAGTCTTAGAGATCACGAGATATGCCTAGATACCACACGTGTTATTAGTATAACAGTTTAGACAATTTATTTACTAATCTTAATCTTGAGTCAAATCTAAAAGTTGAATCGCAATTTCTCTTGCATTGAAATGTCATTGGAGACATTTGACACCAACATCGCTGCGTTCACTGAAAGCTATAAATCATTGAACTATAATAGGCAAAGACAAACACCTGTACGAATAAATAAGAAGGACAGTTACTTTCTCTACCACTCCTTCAGATAGCCACGAAATGCCAACACGACTGGGTCACCCATTTGGCGACGCGCTATTTGGACGCGACTCAAGCGATGCTCGCGAAGCGATTTGAACAATGAATTTAAATTACATGCGACTTATTAATTTAAAACTCTTTGTATTCGAAATTAGTTAGTATTTTTTATATATTTAAATTTCGTTCTAATTATTAGAATAGGAAGTGTTAATTACGCTGTTTTAATTATAATCGTATACGGGTTTGAATGGAATTTATTTTGTTTCTCGTCATAAAGAAAGACTCTGCTGTTTCAACAAAAGTTGCATAATTAAAATATTTTAACTTCAGTGGCATGTAACAGAGATATCGAAGGTAATTTTATACCAGTTTCTTGGGAAAAAATAACTAATAATAATATTATGGAAGTCGTAAATGAGAAATAGTAAAAGTTGTTCATGGGTTTGATCCGGTTTTGTTGTTATCTAAGATTGAGTAACACGAATCTACATCTAATTATAACGACAGTTAACATTATCTCAACCCATTTCAAATGTTAATCTGCAATAATATTTTCGTTTGTAAAACAATACGTTCTTATATTTAATTACGTTCACTTTACAATTCCGGATATTGTCTACACACTTCTCACATCTTTTATTTATTATATATTTATGTATAATATTTTTCAATTAGTTATTTGCATGAAATTAAATCTATCTATATATATAAAAATGAATTGCTGTTCGTTAGTCTCGCTAAAACTCGAGAACGGCTGGACCGATTTGGCTAATTTTAGTTTTGAATTATTGGTAAAAGTCCAGGGAAAGTTTAAAAGGTAGATAAATATGAAAACGTAGCAGCTACGTTGCAAAACAAACAAGTGGAGTAAACAGGTTACTTTATGGTATCCAAGAGGGGACACCAGAAGACAGGGGCGACCAAAAACGAGATGGAGCGATGATATACGCCTAACCCTAGGACCATACTGGACCAGAGTTGCTGAGGACCGAGCCCAATGGAGAGAGCTGGAGGAGGCCTATGCCACGAGGCACGCCGAACTCCGAGATATACTATAAGAAAAAAAAAAAAAAATTTAAATTTCATGGTTATAGTTCGGAAATAAAGGGCTTTATTATTATTATTATTATAAATATGAAAACACTCAGAATTATATAAAAACAAACAATTTTGTTTTTCCTTTGATCTGTCCCACGTCGGACCGATTTCTTTTGTTTGTCTTAAGTTTATTATATACAAAAGCTTGGGTCTTTTATTTATCGATTGAGGCACTACGAAGTCTGCCGGGTCAGCTAGTTAAAGCATATTAATGTAACCTTTTGTTTATTCTCACTGTTCAAACCGGAACTCGCTAATGTGTTTGATACGACTTTGACAATATGACTCGAGTTCGCGTAGATCATCCCGTTGCTTAAGAGTTCAATGACAATTTATTTTCGATTCACTGTATAATCGCTCTTAAATTGTACCACGTTACAATACAATGTTTATGAATTATGTTTTTCGGTATGATTTCTCGCATGTCACAACACTACGCCGAACAATACGTCAATGCATTCCTTACTATTTATAATAATAATGCTTATTGAATATTCATACGTTCATACTAAACGGAGTTACAATGAGAGACTCGATAACTATTGGTAGAAATCTCGTTGACCTTGCAAAACGTTACACGAATAACTTTGAAACAAAAATTTGCCTCGTTTTAGGTTTTATTATTTTGTTGATGAATAATCTAATATTATTGTTATTGTCACTAAAATCTCGTCTCTATTACAGAATTAGCCGTCTTAATTTCTTATGTTGTAGTTAATTAGTCTTTGGCTAGGTTTAGATTACTGGATAGAGCTAGAGGTACGTATTATATCGAGAGCTATTTATAATTTGGAAAAAATATCTTAATTATTATAAAAATTTTCTTTAGCTACTTGAATGTAGAAATTGAAGTTCAATTAAAAAGATCGAACTGTTGTTGTTAATCTTCTATCTTCTTCTATATATATAAAAATGAATTGCTGTTCGTTAGTCACGCTAAAACTCGAGAACGGCTGAGTCGATTTGGCTGATTTTGGTCTTGAATTATTCGTGGAAGTCCAGAGAAGGTTTAAAAGGTTTAGATAAATATGAAAATGCTCGGAATTAAATAAAAATAACAATTTGGTTTTCCCTTTGATGTGTCGGACGGATTCCTTTTGTTTGTTTTAAGTTTATTTTATACAAAAGTTTAGGTCTTTTATTTATCGATTGAGGTACTACGAAGTCTGCCGGGTCAGCTAGTACTTAATAAAACGCATCTTTAATTGAATATGCAATTTCGAAAAGGGCATATCTCTGAAAATGTAAAATGTTCAGGAAATGAAAAAAAACGGATTATTTTCTAAAGCAGTGTAAAATTTTAAATATTAACTTTTGAGATATATTTTAGTGTTAATTAGCAATTGAAAATTACTGGAATTGTTATAAAATGGGTGTAGGTAAGCCTCAGAACTACATGTATATGAAAAAACTTATTTGACAAAATATGCGACGTGTGCCCTTTTCGAAATTGCATATTATATTCAATTACAAAGATAAATGTCGTCTATTAAGTGAAATGTCGCTTAATAGCATTTCATCCTTCGAAATGAGCTGAGGTATTGAGAGATGTATATAACTTTATTTAATTTGTATGTATTGTATGAAAGTAATTTTTTATCTAAATTGTTACTTTTCTCTGGACTTTGACACATGTATATAAGAAAGGCATAATAATACAGTTCAGTTCAAAATTGTCTCACGCGATTCGCTTGAATTTTCGCGCTAATTCTCATGTGATCAAAACTTCTATGCAACGAATTGAAATCAAATGTTGCGAAACTGAATTCTTGGTGACTGACAAACTTCTACCTATCTCTGTTAACAGTGTATTACGAATGTAGAATGAAAGAGACAAAAACAGTGAGTAAAGAATGGATCATGTGTGCAAGTAACAATGGCGCAAGTTTTTTTTGTGGACTTACATATTTCTTATGTAAAAATCTGATATAAAGTAGGTTTTTGGAATACGAATATAGATTGATTTTTGCAATACTGTGCAGATATGTAATCTGGGTGTACAATACAAAATGTTTTAAAAGCCTGCGTTTTTGTTTACAAAGAGCATATTTTGTAAACAAAGAAATACAATTTATCATGACAATACTACCAAATACCTTATACATATCTTAGTCTTTATTTTTTGTAAAATTAAGCATTCCGCAAATTGTATTTTTTTATTTTTTTTATTACTTAGATAGATAAGTTTGGGAGCCCCTGGCCTAAACTCATAAGTTTACCTACAATTTGATGTGCTTTTAAGTAATTCGTTCATACAATATTCGTTATTACTGGTTGTAGGACCTCTTGTAAGTCCGCGCGGGTAGGTACCACCACCCTGCCTATTTTTGCCGTGAAGCAGTAATGCGTTTCGGTTTTAAGGGCGTGGCAGCCGTTGTAACTATACTGAGACCTTAGAACTGATATCTCAGGGTGAGTGGCGCATTTACGTGTTAGATGTCTATGGGCTCCAGTAACCACTGAACACCAGGTGGGCTGTGAGCTCGTCCACCCATCTAATCAATAAAAAAATAAATCATATTTTGCATCTGAATAGCTGATTGCAGTCTAGGTATTAGACAGTTTTCTCCGCGTATGAACGCGCCAAGGTCATTGTCCGACTTACATTTTATTAAAAGCGACGCGTAGAAGGATGTTAAAACCCGTATAGAATTCATTTTGCCAAAGGACAACCGCTGATTCACGCTTTTGGTATTAAATGTGATTCTTCGAATAAATTTTGCTCACGAAAAGTAATATCATTGCTAAATTTGGAAAATTTACGACAGAATATTAAAAATTCTTTAGAAATTTTACAAATTTTCGTATCGAGTTTGGTTTTTTTTTTTTCCTATTGTTAGTGAATTATTTCTAAATTTATAAATACAGTTTATTATAATTAATTTAAAAACAGTTCACATGATAATAGTACTGACGAAGCGTGTTGCGGATAATAACATGTACTTTTAGGTTATTTAGGAATATTATGTTCTTTTTTTATAATAAATTATAATAGTACATAGTCATTAGATAATATGTTCTTTCTACTTACTTAAAATTACTGTTTAATCTAGCATTTTTTATTGCCACTATATTGTTTCCTACGTTGTAATAATTGGGCACGACATAGATTATACACTTAATAGGGCACGATGTTCAAATGTCGACGAATAACACCTTAGTCGTTTGCAATCACCCAAAAACTGAGGAGTCTTTAAAACGTCAGAAATAATTTAATGACAATAAAAAACGCGAAATTAAATCGTAAAACTAGTTTTCATTATTGTCACATCTTCAATGATGGATTTTGTATTATTAATATGAACCACGAGTTCACGTCTCAATTGATGTTAAGTGGTTACCGGAGACCATAGAAGTGAACAATGTAAATGCCTTGAGAATCCTTGAGACGTGAATTCTAAGTCACCGTTTTTACATTACAACGGCTCTACCGTCTTTCAAACTGAAGTAGGCAGGGTGGTGGTACCTACGCTTGCGGACTCACAAGATGCTCTGCCGTGATTAAAAGTTCTTAATCAACACCAATCTTTTTGATTCCAGTTGAAATCTACCTGTCGCCGGTGGAGACTCACTGCAGTAATGTAGACTACTTCATTCCCGACGAGAACAACGAAACCAAAGGCCTCTCAGACGATGCAATGAACAGGTGATTATAATTACACAATAGATATGAAAGATGCAGTTGATTGATCGTACTGTCGTAATCGTAACTTAGCGTACGTGAACTTGTTTAACGCATGTCCAAGCACATATCCCATTTAGAAAACCAATAAAGTTTTATCTTTTATTGCATAGTTGGGTGGACGAGCTCACAGCCCACCTGGTGTTAAGTGGTTACTAGAGCATATAGACATCTACAACGTAAATGCGCCACCCACCTTGAGATATGAGTTCATAAGGTCTCAGTATAGTTACAACGGCTGTCCCGCCCTTCAAACCGAAACGCATTACTGCTTCACGGCAGAAATAGGGAGGGCGGTGGTACCTACCCGTGCGGACTCACAAGAGGTCCTACCACCAGTAATTACGCAAATTATAATTATGCGGGTTCGATTTTTATTACACGATGTTATTCCTTCACCGTGAAAGTCAATCGTGAACATTTGTTGAGTACGTATTTCATTAGAAAAAATGGTACCCGCCTGGGATTCGAACACCGGTGCATCGCTCAACACGAATGCACCAGACGTCTTATCATTTAGGCCACGATGACTTCAAACCTTGCCTACACTGGTTTCATTGGCACATTCTAAGATTAAGGCGACGTAAATTATTTCAAAGCAATTCTAAAGCACACTGACCGCGACTGCTTACAACGAGATACGAGGCCTTGCGTCCTATTGCAAGTGGGTCGCCGGCCAACAGTTCCGAATATAATAAACTATTGTTTGACACGGATCATTCGTTTAAATTGATTCAGTCGTCTCTTCCTTTCGATGGTTATAAACTGTTTTATAGGTTTGGTTTTGATTGAATTATGGTGAAATAATGTTCGTTAATATCATGTTGTCCATAATCATTGTAGGTATATTTTCTTATCTTTCCTATCAGGTTAATGCTCTGTTTTGTTTTTATTTATTTTTATTGCTTAGATTGGTGGACGAGCTCACAGCCCACCTGGTGTTAAGTGGTTAATGGAGCCCATAGACATCTACGACGTAAATGCGCCACCCACCTTGAGATATAAGTTCTAAGGTCTCAAGTATAGTTACAGCGGCTGCCCCACCTTTCAAACCGAAACGCATTACTGCTTCACTGCAGAAATAGGTAGGGCGGTGGTACCTACCCGCACGGGCTCACAAGAGATCCTACCAATAGTAAAAAGCTGTGTAAGCTTATTCTAACACGAGATCTTTTAATGCGCAAGACTAGTCTCTGCTCCGTTTTTATTCACATCACCACATCGTCAATTGCAATTTATTATAAACATAATATTTTTCGTATATATTTCTTCAACCGCTCAACCATTCTGCTTGGTTATCCAAAAACCAATCAATTCAGATCGATAATATTCCATTCTCTTTAAAGTTTCGAGTTTACTATTTGTTTTGACCTTGACTGTGGCTATTTTTCGTATATGTTTCATTTACTTCTCGCTCGTAAAATGGTTTGTTCTATCTTGTATCACTGGTGGTAGGACCTCCTGTGAGTCCGCGCGGGTAGGTACCACCGCTCTGCTTGTTTCTGCCGTGAAGCAGTAACGCGTTTCGGTTTGAAGGGTGGGGCAGCCGTTGTAACTATACTTGAGACCCTAGAACTTATATCTCAAGGTGGGTGGCGCATTTACGTTGTAGATGTCTATGGGCTCCAGTAACCACTTAACACCAGGTGAGCTGTGAGCTCGTCCACCCATCTAAGCAATAAAAAAAAATATCTATGAAAATTTCAGTTCTAACATCTTATAGACGTAAAACTACAGGAGGAATAGAAATAAAGTAACAAACAACAACAAAAAAACATGATTTTGTTTTGTCACACAATTATTTCTCAATCAATATATTTTCAATGTAAGACTTAGTATAACTGTTAATAGTGACCCACTGGTCCTTAAAGATAATGAAATAAAATTAATAAAAACCGTTTAAATAACGCACAGCGAATTGTTTAATGTTTATTGTAACACAAACGTTAAGGTTATTGTGCAACCTCCGAACAGAACCTTCATGAACGAATTATTTCATATTATTTCGTCAAAATAAATGGTCATAAACGTATGGTAGTTACAACACGCGTGCAACATTAAAGATGAATTAAAATGCAATAACAACCAACAGAATTATTGTATACTAGCGACCCGCTCTCGCTTCGCTTCGGAAACATTAAATTTTATTATTGATAGTTGAGTCCCGCGATGCTACCCGCGGTTATTGTCGTACCGCGGGTGACGCCGCGGGGCGAAGCTAGTCTAAAAAAGTAGCTTAAGTTACTCCTTATATCATCAGCTACCAGTCAGTGAAAGTCCCGTCAAAATCGGTCCAGCCGTTCTAAAGATTAGCCGGAACAAACAGACAGACAGACGGACCGACAGACAGACAAAAATTGTAAAAAATGTTATTTTGGTGTATGTTATATATATATTCATATGCATGTAGTAAAAGGCGGTTATTTCAATATTACAAACAGACACTCCAAATTTTATTTAAATGTATAGAGTAGCGGCCCACTCCGGCTCCGCTCGGGTCTTTAACAAAAATTTCTACGATATTTGACGTTGTTTTATTTATTCAAATAAAACAACACTTATTGCGGCATAACTGTAATAGTTAGACATATGCTGTCGCGACACTTTTTGTAAATAATAATGTGTTCTACAAAGTCGTAGTACATTATTTTATTCTATCATCAATAGTTTTCGCACTGTACGTGATGTAAAGAATATTTTAGGTAATTTTTTACACTTGGGTTACATTATTTGAGTTTTAGTAAGGACTTCTAATTTTTTTCAAAAAAGATTATAATAGGCTATAACTATATGTCACTCGGGAATAGTGTAGCATTCAAACAGTGAAAGAATTTTTCAAATCGGTTCAGTAGTTTCGGAGCCTATTCAATACAAACAAACAAACAAATATTTCCTCTTTATAATATTAGTATAGATATATTTTTTTCTATGAAGCTTAATTCTTTGAAATCTGATGTATGGAATTTCCCGAATACAAAAACCAAACACGGAATTCGCATTTAAAATGGCAGTCGATAAATTTATTTAACTAGGTATATTTGTTCTGTACGCAATCAAACTTAGCTAAAATCAGTTAAATTGTCTCGTGTTGAGCGAAGAGTTATGCTGACGGTAACTACTTTATGTAAGCTTCGCAAATTGATCTTGCAAATCACTACCATCTTTCAAAATGCGTTTAAATCACTCTTAAAAACCTTATCGCAAAAATACTGATATGAACATAAACTGAGGGATGCCAGACGGACATAAATCTGTAATTTAGTTAAAGTGTGTTGCCAACAATAAACTAATAAATATAGTGCATAAATTGTTTAATTTAGAAATCCACTAGATGATGACGGAGCTTTGCTCATATTTTTTTTTGATAACGCCCTCTTGTTGTGTCTTTAAAGCGGTTAGTTGCCCTCAATTAAGAAAAATAGTATTATTATTCGCCAATAGATGTCGGGAAGAGTTGATTATTGAAAACACGAATAAACAACATTTTCTGAAAATAAATCATAGCTAGATCGATTTATCGCCCCCGAAATCCCCTGTATACTAAATTTTATGAAAATCGTTGGAGCCGTTTCCGAGATTCAGATTATATATATATATTAATATACAAGAATTGCTCGTTTAAAGGTATAAGATAGACATGGATATTATGCTGTAATTGATTATAAAATGGGATATGTGATTTTGTTTCGATTCTCCTCAGTTATTGTACAATTGAGGATTGATTCCATTGAAACATCAGACTGAATTGTAGTAATCAGTTAATATTCGATGGACCATGATTTCATTCTACCAATCAAGTGCTAGGCTTATAAGATATCATATTATAATACCTAGTAACCAAATAACTAAGTTGTATTAGTCATATGTGAACATTCACCACAGTATAATTTTTCTGAGCCGATGTTATAGTTTGTATTTCGGAACATAGAGATATCGACTTAGATATAGATATATTAGGGCAGTATCGTTAAAGCAATATTCGTACATGTGTTTATAACTGGTCAGTTGCTATATCGAGGAGTAAAAAGCCTGTGTTTAAGCAACATTTCGCTTGATACGCGACATTTATCTTTGCAATTAAAGCTGCGTTTCATTTGATATTAGCAACAAGTATTCTAAATTTTTAATTGAATTTCAATTAAGTTTACCGCATTCGAATAGTTGAGGAAGTTTTTCTGTTATAATTTTTTTTTCTCCCAAATTTTAAACTTTAAATGTCTCTCGAGTGATGTACCAAAAATGTTGCTTATACCAAATAGTATTTCACAACTCGATATATTCATGAATGATCCAAAATGTTTGTCTACTTATTTTTTGATTTTTTATTTCCTTTGTAGGCAGACAAGCACACGGCCCACCTGACGGTGACTGGTTACCGTCGCCCATGGACTTCAGCAATGCCAGGGGCAGAGCTAAACCGCTGCTTACCTAACCTGCCTTCGTTGGGTCTTCGTGTCCCCTTGCGGAGGCACGGGTCGGGCCTCGGGGCAATCCCCTCTGCCCAGGCTTGGACTCCCTGCCTGACGAGGCAGAGGTGATGATTTTGCCTGTTGGCCGTTTTCATAATAATATGGTGATGTAATGATGTAGATGAAGCGATGATTACAATGAGGTGATGCTGTTTAAGTAATTGATACGTATGTAGTGAGTTTGTTTAATGAGAATGACGATGGTGATCTGTAACGTTCCGATCAACCAATTATTCTGGCGGGTCTATCTCCATGATGTAAGGGAGGGATGGTCCCCCCTCAGATCCTTTCTTCCTTCAAATCTGCCTACCACAAACTGTTCAATCTATAAACTGTTTCCAGGCTACATATGGCTCGGTCAACGGTGGCGTTGTTCATTGTGGCGTTCTTGACGTTGTTCATTGCTTTCTGGACGGGCGTCGTCGGCTGCTGGAAGCGCAGTCCCGGCAACATCACCGCCACCGCTATACTGATGCTCGTCACATGTAAGTCCAAACTTGATCACCACTTAATAAGCCCTTACTTAATCCCTCTTAAATATGTTAGTACGTGAAGCAAAAATTTTGTACTCCTTTTTAAGAAAATTGCGCGGACGGAGGAGTATGAAATTTCTCACACTTATAGAGAATATAGAGAAGGAGTGCGGAATGCTAATTTTTTTTGCATGGATGTGTGGACGAGCTCACAGCCCACCTTGTGTAACCACATATTACTGGAGCCCATAGACATCTACAACGTAAATGCGCCACACACCTTGAGATACAAGTTCTAATGTCTCAGTATAGTTATTACGGCTGCCCCACCCTTCAAACCGAAACGCATTACTGCTTCACGGCAGAAATAGGCGGGGTGGTGGTACCTACCGCTGTTCTAACTGCATACAAATTTGAGCTAACTTTAACGCTATCGAAAATTAAAAAAAAACTCGCACTAAGCACACTGGTACTTTTTCAATGGATACGCAGCTTTGATGTACTCGCAAATTGGACGTAACTGTACCTACGTGTTCGTTCCAGGTCTGCTGTCGGCGGGCGCTATGGCACTGTGGCACGGGGTTGAGTTTTATGAAAAGGAGAAGGTTGTAGGAGAGGAGTTCTATCAACAATGGCCCAACGTGAGTCATTAGAACATAATATTTAAACCTGAATATTTTTTCGTTGAATTTGAAAAGCATATTGTTAAGAGATTAAATTTTAATCGAGGAGTATAAAGCAGATAGTTTTAAACGAGTTCCGCGGCAGGTACTAAAAGACAACTCATCGATATGGTACGACTGGTCGTACATCCTCGCCTGGTTGTCTGTGGGCGTCTCCTTCTCCAGCTCCATAGTATTCTTCTCTGCCGCCATTTGTCTCTGCAAAGAAAAGCGCCGGGAACAGCAGAATAATGTGCAGTACATTATGCCAGGTTAGAGACCGGCTCGCCCGTCATTTTGTGGGTTCGGCCATCTTGTGCAACGGTTAACGCTTGGCGGTTAAGGAAGATCTGGCAACGAAACTTTTGTATATTTTATTTCGAACGATCATAACTTAGTTATAAGCGAAAGCTACGTAAGTATCATCATACTAACAAAATGCTTTTTCTCTTTCTTTCCATGTTCGGAATGGCAACTGCGGACTCGCGACCGGTCTAAATTTATTAAAAAAATATAATTTCTCTAAAATATCTGGTTTACGCCAAACGCAATACTAACATGCTTACATACATTAACATGGTGCTGTACGTTTTACCCATTGAATTCTATCCAATTTCAACTGTCGTTAATTTTATATTTCCCATGGTTCTCCGTTTTTTTTAAACTCACTCACACATCTCACACGAACCTACGAATGTATTTCTTTATAAAAAAAAATCCGTGTTGCCATAATTACCGTATTATTCGTACGCAATCGACACCCGCACGATAAACACTCACGTACACAATTCGAAAATCGATATTCGTTGTCGGATATTGGTATAAACCAGATATTACGTGACAACTCTCGCGTTTGGTACGATTGGTCGTATATGGTGGCGTGGTGCGGCGTCGGGCTGTCACTGCTGTCGGCCATCTTGTTCTCGTCGGCGGCCATTTGCTTACGCGGCGAGCGAGAGCGGGAGGAAGCGCTTAATATGCAGTACCTCATGCCGGGTAATCCGCTTATCATAACTTCCTTTATTACGAAACATCATTAAACAAAAAACTAAATCATTTATATATTTAAGGTTGCGTATTAATTTTCCGAGTTTGTGAATTTTAAACGATAAAGTTAACATATCTTAAATCTAAAGCGATTGTTTAATATATATTGAAACTTTACTTCATTAAGTACCTACACAGTGACCATTGTTCGGAAAATGTTAGCGATGATGTCATGAATTTAAAAACAATAATCGTTCAATCCAAATGAGACACAATCAATACTTTTGTAAATACATTTCTCAATCGTTGGNGAGTTTGTGAATTTTAAACGATAAAGTTAACATATCTTAAATCTAAAGCGATTGTTTAATATATATTGAAACTTTACTTCATTAAGTACCTACACAGTGACCATTGTTCGGAAAATGTTAGCGATGATGTCATGAATTTAAAAACAATAATCGTTCAATCCAAATGAGACACAATCAATACTTTTGTAAATACATTTCTCAATCGTTGGCACGGCATGCTTGTGACGTTGGGGGATTGGTTCTGATTTATAATAGAATGTTTTATAATACTTATATATAAATTTGTGATTAGTTTGAGAACCTATATGTATTGTTCTCATTAATTTAGAGATATAAAACTTACATAATTTAGAATAAGCTAGCAGCAACATTCCATGTTTCAACAAAAGTATTAATATCGAATTTGTGTTTCCAGTATACCCACAAAAGCAGCAGTACGCTTACGCCGGATACCCGCCGCCCGCGGCGTACCCCGGCCCCTACTACCACGGCTCGCAGTACGGGCCCTACAACTACTGAGCACGCGACCAGATCCCGGACCTGGTGGCGCCGCACTGCGCCCCCGCCCCGCAGGCCCCGGCCCGCAACCCCTCGCCCCGCGCCCGTACAACCTCCTCCCACTCCTCACTCGACACATTCAACTCCCACCGGAAAATCAAACGACCCAAGCTGATCGGCGACAAGAAAGTCTACCGCCCAGTCAGAAGGCACACCCTGTCCCGTATAGACGAGACGCCTCCCCAAACTTTGGCCCGACCTCGGTCCAAGAGTCTACAGCACTCTGCGGACGATTTCTCGTCGACGCGGCCGATGCTCCGGTCTCGCTCCAACGTGTCAGCGGACACGAGCAGGAGCGTGCCCGTCTGCAACCAAAGTCACGAGATTGGTAACCAGCTGGAGAGCAACAGCCCCCAGTACGCAGAGCCTAAAGACTCTGACTCGTCTTCGTACGAGCGGCCGGCTTCGATGACGGACCTGCCCATCATGGTACCCATCGACCAAGTGACCGGCGCCTACGTCCCCTACCCCCAGTACTCGTACTATCACGACGAGGGTTGTAAGCTCAACCGTTTGAAAAGGAACAACAAGAAGTCTAAAAAGTCCCCAAAAAACAATGTTTACCTTGCATTCATGTACTGAGCGCGCGGGAGCCGTAACGAAGTGACGGTGAAGAGTTTCGATTCAAGGCCGTTGCAGTGTAAGACGCCACAGCTATGTGACTCCATTTAAAAGTTGACATTCTCAACTGTCAATGTCATTTAAACTTTTACGTACACTATCTAATCAATGCAAACGAAACAGGTCCGATTCTGGTTGCGAAACTGACGCACGTTAATGGCACGTTTTATATGGGCCGAGCTATGTATCATCAGTATCTTAAATGTTGAAAATTGTTTATGGAATATCGATAAAGTTAAGAATATCGATAAAATTAATCGATAAAGTTGAAGGGAATCGTCGCTCGGCCCCTACCTTGAGCACGGCTTACGAAACTCCGACACCGCTGGTCCCTTCGGAGCGTGATGCTTCCGACGAACAAAGCCTTTGTCTCACGAAATATAGTTGTAATTAGTGATTTTATTCCAACGAGGAGCATATTAGAAGCGAAAGTGAAGTGGTCTACGTTATGCCGAACAGAAGAAGCAATCCAAATTAGCGATGCGGTAATAATTTTAATAAAAATAATAATCGTTGGTTTTTTTTTGTTCACATTTGACATAACACCGACCACAACAGGAGTTATAAATATATATTCACTCCGCCATAATATATCGCAATAAAACAAAACGTTTAGTTAGAATAATTATTAAGATTTTTTTTATTAGTGCGTACATTAATTACCTACACAAAAGAATTGTCTCAAAATCCACGAAACAACATATCGCTGTAGTAGTAGTGCCTTTGACAAAAAAAATATGCTCATCTATATTTATTTATATAAGCATCATGAACTTATTGTAATTTATAGGTTTCATAGTTCAATATATTGAAATTATTTTAATCAGTATACATATTTATATAATGCTCTTGTAATTGCTCAGATATTCATATAAGTACCTTCTTCGTAGCATAATATTGATGATAATACCATCCCAAATAAATTTAAGTTCTTATAATATATTGTCGTATTAAAATAACGGTTTATATTGTAGAATATATATCTAAAACTGGTGGCTTCCATTTTGTAAAAAAAAAACAATAAACAGTTTTTTTTTTTCGAATTTAAGTTTTTAAACTAAGGGTTTATTAATCGTTCTTATCGTATCGTTCGAGTAAATCTAAACAGAACCAATTAGTTGAGTTCGCGAATCTATTGTAAATTTATCGGTATAAGTATATTTAACGAAAACGACTAGAGATTGTTTACAAGTATTTTTCATCACTATTGTATTTAAATTTTACAAATAAAAATTGCAAAAATGAAATGTATTGGTTTTTTTTTTCACACAATAATATCTGCAATGGTGTCATTTGTTCTGTAAGTAGGCAAAATAGTAGACTGACTGCTGACATTAGGTTCACACGGTACCAGATAGTGATCACAAGTTTTTTTTTCCTACCAATTTTAGTGTTCTCGAGAGGCCATACTAGGTAGATACCTACCGAATGAGTTGGAATAGTATTACTCAGAACGTAGCTGGAATAGCCCCTTAAGCCAGTGGTCGGCAACCCGAGGCGGCTCTTTGGCCCCATTACTTATTATCTTGCCTTGTAAGAGAGACAAGTAAACATTTTTGCAAGACAAGGCTATAAATACATTTGACAGTTAAAAAATTACTCTGAATAAATTGCAATTGTGTGTTATCTATATTTGGCTCTTTTGGTTGACAAGGTCGACCACTGCCTTAAACTACCAGCGAAAAGGTAGGGAAAAAATCGCTCAATAAAAACGAAAACCAAATAATTTGTAAATTTACCACTTTACACCAGGTGGGCTGTGAGCTCGTCCACCCATCTAAACAATAAAAAAAATGCGTTGTGTCAGGTAGGTGTGATTCGAACCCGAACACATATTAAAGTCCTTTAACATCGATATGTGGTAATATATCGATGTCCTTTAAATTAAATTATTACGATTTACTAAGAGGGTTTAAAAAAATTACATAATTCATTCATACAAAAAACTTTATTAAAAATATTTTAATCTGTACATCATAAAATATACATAATTATGGCTTCATTGGACGCTTTACAAATGGATGGAATGTCTTAAGTACGTTACTATCACAATAATTGAGGCACAATAATTTATAATTTTTTCAAATAGCATTATATACTATAAAAATATAAAAAAGAATAGAATATGGACATACTCTGCTTTAAAAATAAAAATTAGGTTTCTTTTTTACTTTTAAGGTTATAGGATACAAAATATGAAGTTGAATTACGGTTATAGTTTTTATTGATTGATTTATTAATAAATTTATTGGAACCCGGCCTCGTTCCGCTGTGACTATCACTAATTATATAAAATACAACAACTGTACTGGTGGTAGGACCTCTTGTGAGTCCGCGCGGGTAGGTACCACCACCCTGCATATTTCTGCCGTGAAGCAGTAATGCGTTTCGGTTTGAAGGGTGGGGCAGCCGCTGTAACTATACTGAGACCTTAGAACTGATATCTCAAGGTGGGTGGATCATTTACGTCGTAGATGTCTATGGGCTCCAGTAACCACAACACAAGGTGGGCTGTGAGATCGTCCACCCATCAAAGCAATAAAATTTTTTTATTGAATCTACACGGTCGCCATCTGTTGTATTTTGGGGGGACTACAACAACTTCCTCAAAATACCAACAACATACATACATTTTCAACTCTATCGTATAAGGGTAATTTTTATATTTATATAAAATATTCATATTCAGTACCATATGCATTTTATTGCCATTGCAGGCATGCAAGCATACGGCCCATCTGATAGGAAGTCGTCATTGTCGGTTAAGGACATCAGCAATGCCAGGGGCACAGCCAACTGCTGTCTACTGAATTTCGGATGTTAATTTTTTATTCAAATTTCACACTAGACAGAGAATGAGGATATTAGAATTTTAAAAAAATCATATCTAAATCAAAATTTAGATAGCTTCTGAGCTTTAAGTGTATATACAGTATATATCTTATATTATATATTTATATATTATAATAAATACTTTGATTCGTATTAAAATGATTTATTTTGTATAAAAATATCACATCCTGTTATTTGTATACTTAAAGGAATGTAATTCTTTATTAATTTATGTAAAGAAACTCCTACGTACTTTTAAAGAAAACTTCTTAGAGAAGTTCACTCACCTGTCATTCAATGAAGAGAAATAATTCAATCTTACTTATTATACATAATAATCTTATTTAAAATATTAATTTAAGCAGATGTAATTATGGGCTTTAAATATTGTTTTTGTATTTATTTTACAGATGAGTCAATATTTTGTTAGAATAATTTATTATAGTTTTAATTTTATATTGTCAATAAATTCGTATTTATAATACAGAAAACGCAGTTAAATCTTTCATTGTCCGCAGTATTATATTTGTTTATATAAACATTTGGAATAATTTAAAAGTGATATTATTGTTATGCTGACCGTACTAATATTACGTTATTAGTTAGTAAGAAAAATCACACAAACTCCATACTGGCTATTGATGACAGTGACAATGGCCGCCGTCAGATCGCCGTGTCGACTATGGGTCCCGGGTTATTCAACGCCTGTTTCCTCTCTTGCACAGCTGTGACGAGTTTTCTGTACGGACCTGTGGGATACAGTCAGTGGTTAATACACAAATAAAATATTACTAACCCACTGAGTTTCTGACCGGATCTTCTCAGTGGGTCGCGTTTCCGATCCGGTGATAGATTCTGCGAAGCACTGCTCTTGCTAAGGCTATTAGATTGAGCCTGTGAGCTCACTTACCCGTCAGAGTATAGCTGGAATAGTCTCTTAGGCTATCAACGATTAGAAAGGGGAAAAAATCAATAAAAGAAAATCCACTAAAGATTTAATAAATTACATCGAATTTACTGTAAAGTTATTTTATCTTATTTAACTTCATTGTTTTGTTATTTTATTACAGATAATCAGTTAAATGAAGGTTTGGCTTAAAGGACCAAAACCATATAGTAATAAAAAAAACACTGGCTGAAAGCGGCACGTTCCACAAGCTAAAGAAATGCATGAAAATTATATAAATAATGGTATCATTTGCAATGCTATCGACAGGTGAAAGGCTATTTGGTTTAAGCAACATTTTTGCAAGTTTACAGGAGAGCCATTCAAAGATTATTATTAGGAAAAATTCTTCTTTTTTTTTCTACCTTATCCAACTAGGTGTGGTCGGCACAGCTAATTTTTCTATTCCATTCTCTTCTATCGACAATCACTCCTTTCTCTCTTTCTCATATCGTCTATCACACACTCCATCCATGAAAATTAAAATTAGGAAAAAATATCATAACAAAAAACACTTCTTCAGCTAATCTGAAATGGGTAAACTTAATGGACATTCAATTAAAAACGTCGAACTGTTGATATTAATATCAGATAGAACGCACTTTGGATTACACTTTTTTTCCCTGCCTATGCTGATAGCCTTAAGAGGCTATTTCAGCTTCGGCTTGACGTGTAAGGTGAGCTCACGGATTCTCAGCTCAAGGGATTACAAAGATAAATGTCGCGTATTAAGCGTAATGTCGTTTAAGCCTTTCACCTCTCCCCCCTCGATATAATACAAAACTTTTTTTATAACGCTTTTATTAACTTCAGATGTATGTAACGGAATCTTTGAACATGATTTTGACCCCCTTCAAAACGTCGGATTAACTTGAAATTTGGTATACTTATTAAGGATCGATGACAATACAATATTAAAAAAAAATATTAAACAAATTAAAATTCAACTAAAAAATTTAAAAATAATAATAATAGTTTAGTGCATGGCATCAGTAGTTATAAATATTTTACGAACATATATGAATAGAAGGGTTCTTTTGATAATATCCTGTAAAGCACCCCACACTTTTTACAATAAAATCATTTTTTCTTACACTATTTTTAATTCAAATTAATTTTCAATTTTTTAGTTGGATTTTCTATAAAAGCGTATTTCTTTTAAACTATTATTTATTTTATGATTGAAGTACTACTGGTAGTCCGGACGCCTTTCCAGTTTCACCAGGACAGGTGGGCGAGCATGGGCTCAACCAGGAGGGAGTCTACTCACCCAGGGGCAGGCCGAGCGATTTCATGTCGCTCTCGGTCAGCAGCATAAGCGCTTCCAAGTCGATTTGTTCGTCTCGAAACTTCTGCACGTACTGCGAGAGGCCCCACGCGGTCAGGAAACGCTCTAGGGACGCCGAGCCGGACTCATCGGCCTCCCCCTCCTCGTCCGAAGTTATCGTCGAGCTCTCTGAAGTTTATTTTTTTACCGTTACCGTCGCCCATAGACGGAGCAATATGCAATAAAAAAATCTCTAGTGGGCGTGGAAAATTTCATACTCCTCCGTCCGCGCAATTTTCGTAAAAAGGGATACAAAGTTTTTGCTTCACGTATTAACATAATATAGATTTGTCGTTACTTGGAAGCTTTCTTGTAGAGTATAGAGTATCTGAGAAAAAAAAAAAAAGTTTTCCAGAGTGCGGTACCTGAGTGCGGCTCGGTCCACTCGGCGGGGCGGTAGGCGGTGCGGGGGGCGTGGCGCGCGGCCAGTGACCCCGCCGAGCCGATGGACAGGTCCTCGCCCGGCGCGCCCGGCATCGCGCCCAGCGTGGCCGTTATGGACCGTCTGAAACAACAATGAACAAGTCTGTAATCATTTGTAACCCGATCCGGTGGTAGGACCTCTTGTGAGTCCGCGCGGGTAGGTACCACCACCCTGCCTATTTCTGCCGTGAAGCAGTTATGCGTTTTGGATTGAAGGGTAGGGCAGCCGTTCTAACCATACTGAGATCTTAGAACTTATATCTCAAGGTGAGTGGCGCATTTACGTTGTAGGTGTCTATGGGCTCCAGTGACCACTTAACACCAGGTGGGCTGTGAGCTCGTCTACCCATCTAAGCAATAAATAAATAAAAGTTGAGCCTGTGAAATGTTCAGGCGGTTCTAGAGAGGACAGGAGAAGTAACGGAAGGGGGTTTTAGTCCGTAGGATGCTGAGTAACCTTCACAGTTGAGTCGGGCATACCATCTGGCCCGGGCCGATTGGTATCCATGAAGATTTCCCCCTGCCACGCAAAAAAAAAGGTTGATCCTGTAAAACGAATAGATAAGGAAAAGAACAAAGACCTGCTCTAAAAACCTCCACGATGTTTCCCAAACGCTATGACATGTCCTTCTTGAAACAAGACTTGTAGAGCGTATTAAAAGGTAGGTAGCGGCTTGGCTCTGCCCCTGGCATTACTGACGTCAAAAAACGAGCATACGGGCCACCTGATGGTGAGTGGTTACCGCGGCCCGTGGACTTCAGCAATGCCAGAGGCAAAGCCAAATCGCTGCCTACCCAGAGGGATATCAATCACGAATATGCATATTGTATCGTATTCTGTTTTGCAACATCCTGTATATAATACACAAATATGGCGTAAAAGACCGCGTGTCGAATGACGCGATATCCCCAAACCACAACAAATTACAAAACAAAGACACTACATTTTTTGCCATGTACCATCCGGCTATGGAATGAGTTCCCCTCTACGGTGTTTCTCGAGCGCTATGACATGTCCTTCTTTAAAAGAGGCTTGTAGAGAGTATTAAGCGGTAGGCAGCGGCTTGGCTCTGCCCCTGGCATTGCTGAAGTCCATGGGCAACGGTAGCCACTCACCATTAGGTGAGCCGTATGCTCGTCTGCCTACAAGGGCAATAGAAAAAAAACATTACCTAAAGGCTACACTCCCGAATCCTGGTCTGTCGAATATACTGGCGGGCTCTTGCAGCATCACCTCCTGTCCTATGCCGCTGTCTTCTCCCGACAGAACCGTGAAATCCGGTTGACTTGCCGATCTGCCGAAGTAAAATTAAAAAAAAAAAACAATTACTACCTGTTAAATTTTCCATTTTAACTAGAACAATAATACATATATTTTTCATAATATTCTAATAAATGTCTTAATAAATCTTAATTGATGTGAGTGAAAGTGTGTACAATAGGTACACATTAAACTAAAATGTATGTGTAAAAATATATGTGGGTGTGTAAAATACATAGTAGTGTGTGTAAAGTTTTTTTAAATTTATTTAATGTATTTTTTAGATTATAAATGTTAAAGATTATAGATTAAAACCAATAAGTTTATTTTATTATTTTATTTTTTATTGAGATGGATAGACGACCTCCAGTCCACCCGGTGTTAAGTGTTTACCGGAGTCCATATACGTCTACAACGTAAATGCCACCACCCACCTAGAGACATAAGTTCTAAGGTCTCAGTATATAGTTACAACGGTTGCTCCACCCTTGGAACCGAAACGCATTACTGCTTCACGGCAGAAATAGGCAAATGATGGTCGAATTTCGACCGCTCTGGGTGACCTCTAGTAGTTATTATAACGCGTGGTACATACCTGGTCAAGGGCGGTTTCTTCTGATCGGTGTCCGCCGTGAACACGTCGGTAACGTTGCCCCGGTGTTGCGGCCCCGCGCCCAGAGTGCCCACGTACATCACTTCACTGTCGCGACGGAGCCCGGATAATGACGTCAGAGAGCGACGACCGGTCGTTTCTAATTCGCCAACCTATAAAAAAAAATACAATTACCCTCCTTAGAACGCTTCGACCAAATTTTGGATGTTGTCGTGCAGAAATGAAGCAGTGTAGTTAAAGTCTTACCGTGTTTATTTATGTTGTCTTAAATAAAGTGCGAGAGGGAAGGCTCATTCATTGTATACAGTTTTAAATGTCTTAGAAAGAATACACCGGTTTTTGACGTGACAACGTCTTATAATTCGATGGAGCCGGCTGTACGAACGAAAAACATGACTCATGCGGCGTTACCTCGCTCTAAGGCGTTCCATTTAAGGCTTGAAGCGCAAGCGAGAGCGCGCAACGAGCGACAAAGAGGCACAATCGGCCTACGAGTTCGGCAGCGTTCGACATCTGTCTCTCTCCTACTTGAGTGAGCGATGCATCCGCGTAGACAGCTGCTATACAATAATACGTTTACATGTTTTCGTCAAGTATGAAGTTCAGTGAAAAGTGAATGTGGTGTTTATAGCAAAGATAATTGCGATAATTGAAAAATGAAACCATTCCATCCGTATTTTCTTATGACGTTGTCACGTTCAACTATCCTTAGTAAACCGACTTTACAGACAACCGATTTTTTATACCAATCTGTGAGGAGTCCTAAATTGGGACTTCGTGCGTCCAAAGTTTCGATGGTTACACAGACAAACGAAGACCGCGTTGCGTCCAAACTTTAAACGCTAACACAGACGAAGGGTTTGAAACTTTGTGTTTTTTTCTTAAAAGCATTTAAAGATCTTACGTTTTTCTAGAAGTCGTTTTTACGTATTAGTGTATATTGTCGATTTCCATTATAATTTAGATTTATTTAGATTAGCTATTGGTATATTACCTCATCTAAAATATATACGTATAAAGACGTGCCTTAGTTAAGTGCCTAAATAGTTAAGTACAATTTTCTTCTCGAAAATTTTAACCGTTTTTTTTTTGTTTGTTTAAAAGTTATTCACGAGTTCATGGTTTTATTTTAAAGTTGCTTTCTAGCAAAAACAAAGATATTATTATACATATCGTGGAATTTCGATTATAGGACAAATGTTAAAAAAAAAAAACTGATCTCCATACTAACGTCTCGAAATTTCGACATTTCTTTATTTAGCAATTCTCCGTGGAAGTGGACGAACGTGTCTAAGGAGGATAATCAAGTATTGAAATGTTACCTTGAAGTCATCATTCGGTCCATTACGGCCGATGGTGTTGTTGCGCAGTTTGCTGGCGAGGGCCTTCTTGTAGACGGCGCCGCGGCCCCGGACGCCCGAGTTCACGGTGCCGACCAGCGTGCTGTACGTCGGGCGGGGCTGCTCGTCCGCCAGGAGGTTACCTGGATTCGGTACGCACTACGGTATACATACGCCAGTCGTGGACATAAGACAAAGACATGCCCGCTGAGTTTCTTGTCAATTCTTCTCAGGACGGAGGCTAGTTTTTGTGAATTGGCGGTAGTTCTTTTGAAGTTCAACAAGTATGTACTTTCATTTATGTTGAATAAAAATTTTTTGATTTTGATAATTCAAACTATTGTGACAGTCCAATATGACCTTTCCTTGACCATCGCTTACGAATCGGTCGTTTGTGACTTGGAAACATACGTTCCGTGCGTAGTTGGAATAGCCTTTTAAGCTAACAATGATTAGGTAGGGCGAAAAAAAAGTACAAAAAGAAGTTTAATGACAAAAAAAGCGGTTTAAAATCGTAAAAGTACTATTAAATATTAGCTGGATTTATTCAACTCTTCTTGGATATGGATGGTAAAATCATCTTAATTAACATGTTTTTAGTGGCTTAGTGACAAATATTAACCGATCGACGTGGCAACGTGAATTGTCTCACTCCAACCACCCTGAGACATGTCATGAGGTTGAAATGTCAATTGTATTGGCATAGCGATCACCTTTCAAACTGCAGGATGCAACTTACCAGTGGCAAAGTGATTTATTTAAGCTAATTTATAATTGTTTACACATTTATCACAAATTACGACAAAACACAGCGACTATCCACTATAGAAATCACAATTAAATTAAATAGTAACATGACAAATTGAATTTATCAAAACACATCGTTGTTCCGAATCGGCCTCATCACGGCGAATGCAAGAATCGATCTAGAAAGATCATTGGAAGACACTTGTTTAAACACACCCAATACTATATTATATTAAGTAAATTCTTATATTTATAACTTCACTTCCATAGAGTGACGAATTTGAATTTGAACGTAATTGCGACAAATCTGGTATCTTATTCAGTTAGTAACCTAAAACTTTCACAAGTTATTATTACCTATTTTTTATACTTTAAATTACTAGAGCAACTCATTATTATTCATACAAATTTCCTTTTCTTTACTACTAGATTCAAATAGTTATAATTTAAAGGGAATCTTTATATATGTTACGATACAAAAACCGGATCGCAAAATTGATCTCTTTCCCAAGGTGATCCTAGGGAAAGAGAAGCTGTTGACGTATAGATCAAACATCGCAGCTTCAGTGTTCTACTGGCAGAAATAATTACAATTTAGGCAATAAAGATTTCCACATACCCTGACTCGTAGATCTGATCATCTTTTGCTTGAGCGCTATTAGCACGTTGCTGGGCCGATGTGGCATAGTGGACACCTCCTCACCATAACCCTGTTCCCACTCTTTGGCCAGCTTCTTCATTTCCTTCTCGGCCATGAGATCAGCTTTGCTCTGTCTTTTCTGATACTGCTTCTGCGATTTCTCGTAGTCTTTTCTGGCTTTCTCTTTGAGCGCTTTCGATTTCTTCCTGGAAAATTGAAAACGATTTAATTATAGTTTGGATTTCAGTGGTACCTCATTAACTAAAATGAGAGAATTTAGAGTTGTTTAAATCGAAATCTCTGGTATGTAACCGTCTTCCTGATGTTATCTGAACGCCATGACTTGTCCTTCACAAATGTGGCCTGTATCGAGTTTTTAACCGTAATCAGTGACTTCACTGTAAGCATTGNTCTTCCTGGAAAATTGAAAACGATTTAATTATAGTTTGGATTTCAGTGGTACCTCATTAACTAAAATGAGAGAATTTAGAGTTGTTTAAATCGAAATCTCTGGTATGTAACCGTCTTCCTGATGTTATCTGAACGCCATGACTTGTCCTTCACAAATGTGGCCTGTATCGAGTTTTTAACCGTAATCAGTGACTTCACTGTAAGCATTGGTCTGTTTATGGGCGTCAATCGTCGTTAAGCATTGGGTATAGATACATAAATAATGCTCCTTCCTGATTTCTGATTAGTAGTATAATAATACTTTCATCTGATGTTTCTAGCGAATCTTCTCCCGCTTCCTATTTCAAGTTATACTTCCTATTGCAACTCTTAAATCCTTTAACCACTAGAGAGCCGCGAAAATGTTTAATTATCAAATAAGAAACGGCATTAATTAACGTTTTTCATTAAAAGATATCACAGTAATATTTCGAACGGGACATAGACAGATTAAAGATCTGATAATCAACACATACTTATCATTGTTTTCTAGTTTTGCTGTAGACTGGTCCAGGTACCGGAGTATATCCTCTCTGCCATTAATAGCGGCCAGCTCCTGAGCGGAGTGACCGTCGACGTCCATAGCGTACACATTAGCTCCGAAGTTGACCAGGAAAGTCACACATTCCTTGTGACCCCGGGCCGCTGCTAGATGAAGGGCTGTATTGCCGAAATAGTCGGCCTTGTCTGGTTCACCGCTGCGATTAGATCAATTGTTTCATTCTTAACGAGAATTCAATATTTTTTTTATTGCTTATATGTGTGGACGACCCATCTTGAGATATAAATTCTAAGGTCTCAGTATAGTTACAATGGCTCCCCCACCCTTCAAATCGAAACGCATTACTGCTTCACGGTAGGAATAGGCGGGGTGGTGGTACCTACCCGTGCGGACTCACAAGAGGTCCTACCACCATTAATTATGCAAATTATAATTTTGCGAGTTTGATTTTTATTACACGATGTTATTCCTTCACCGTGGAAGTCAATCGTGAACATTTCTTAAGTACGTATTTCATCAGAAAAATTGTTATCCGCCTGCGGGATTCGAACACCGGTGCATCGCTACATACGAATGCACCGGACGTCTTATCCTTTAGGCCGCGATGATTGGACCTTTGAATAAAATCCGTCGAGTTCGTAATTAAGGACATCCATCGTGCCTAACTTAGCAGAATTCCGTTAAGTTTCTCAATAGATCCTCATACATCTATAATGGATCTGAATTGCTTACGTAGCTTACACTGTCTTTACTGAACGAAGAAATAATTTTATTTTTATTAAAATCTCGTTTTTTTTTCATAAAACCGATTAACTGCTTTAACATTATTAAAATCAGAATTGGAATAAATTATTGTATAACAACAAAATAACGCACAACGCTTCCTAATAACACGTTCTAGTCTATTTGAGTCGGAAGTTGTAATTAGCAAAATGTACGTGTACAAAGCAATTACCGGCTTCATTACCAAATAGGCGTAAAAGTTGCGTTCCAATTGGAATAAGTGAAAGCAATGATTATGGGCGTTTACGGCGTTCTAAACTTGAAGAAAATGTTTGGCGAAGGCAGGATGAGGGAAAATTGAAAAAAAATCAAATCCCCAATTTTAAAACATTCTTTATTGGTGCTCCGCTTGTATTGGTCTTAGCGTGATGTTATATAGCCTATAGCCTTCCTTAATAAATGGGCTATATAATACTGAAAGAATTTTTCAAATCGGACCAGTAGTTTCTGAGATTAGCGCGTTCAAACAAACAAACTCTTCAGTTTATTATTATTATAATATTACTAGCGACCCGCCCTCGCTTCGCTTCGGAAACTAATTTATTATTGATTTCTCTACTATTTAATGGATGTTATTTTACATATAAATCTTTCTCTTCAATCAAATCAAATCAAATAAAAAAAAATTTATTCAACATAAATGAAAGTACATACATCACTCTATGTATTAAAAAAAACCGCATCAAAATCCGTTGCTTGGTTTTAAAGATTTAAGCATGCATAGGGATATAGGGACAGAGAAAGCGACTTTGTTTTATACTATGTAGTGATTAAGTATACATATAGATTAACAAGATTACGCGGCGGCTTTATTTATTGAAGTCGACGGCTTCCCAAAAAGTAACTAAACAGCAAATGGGATTTTCTACCTATCTGCCAGTAGCTTCGTGGAGCTATTCTAGTTTCACCATGGGCGATGCGAGAGCTCACGGGGCTCAGCTCAGAGAAATGCTTCGTTGAATCTTTGGAAGGTTAGGATTGAAATCGCGACCCACTGAGAAGAGCCGGCTAGAAACTCGCCGGGTTGCGTCTGCGGGTTAATTTCTACGTGGAACTATTTGTCACATTCGACGAGAACGATGACCGGTGCTTGGAATGCTTAAAAGCACTGAGAGTAGATCAGGAGGATGCGAAATGACATGTCTAGGGAGATGAAGTTTGTGGGTTGCCACGTCGTCTTGGTCGGGGATAGTAAGTTGAGTTCCTCTGCTTATATACTGCATTAAAACACTGGGGTTTTATTTAAATGCACTTTACTTCACGTTGTTTGAAAATCAATAACGAACGAACTCAAGTATCCATGGTACAACAGAAATCTTGGTATCTGTATGTACCCACCTATGTAAAGCTCCCACTCTTTATGAACGCTTAGCTGGTAGATAACTCAATTGGTGAGTTAAGCTCGCCATTTTATAACTTTTCGCAATTATTGTATTAACTGTGTGTACAATAAAGAATAAGGGACAATAAAGAATAAAGAATCTTCTCGTACATTTTGTGTTAATACAAAATACTGCCTTAATTATGTATGTTTTAAGTCCGGCCTACATTGAAGGTTGCATGTCTTATGACGCGAGAAGATATATAATAAATAACGTGGTCTCATTTTACAACTGATAATTTTTATCAATCATTACATTGATAGTTGTTTACGTGCAACAAAAAATTAACGACAGTACTTCAATTTAATCTATGATACAAAAGAATATTCGCAGATACGTCGATCATCAGTATTTAACGACATTTACTCATTCCCGATCCTGCGGATAGAATGGAAAGCAGTCGACGTCGCCCAAAACACGTCATCTCGGATCCTCCCGATCCACTAACGGTGCTTTTAGGTACTTCAAGCACCGGTCACCGTTCTCGTCGAACCCGTCGCTTGCGACGAAGGGCTCGACGAGTAAATTAACTCTCAGACACAGCCCATTGAGTTTCTCGCCGGATCTTCTCAGTGGGTCGCGTTTCCGATCCGGTGGTAGATTCTGCGAAGCACGGCTCTTGCTAGGGTTCGTGTTAGCAACGTCATCAGGTTTGAGCCCCGTGAGCTCACCTACAAACGTTAGGGTTACGCTGAAATAGCCTCTCAAGGCTCTCAGCTTAGGTAGGAAAAAAAAAAAGGAAAAAAAAGACATTTATAATTTTTGCGGGTTTGATTTTTATTACACAATGTTACATTTTCACATTGAAAGTTTTCAAGAACACGTGTCAAGTACGTGTTTCCTTACAAAAAAAAGGATTTGATCATCGACCCAATCACATCGATCGATACAGAAAGTCTTGTTCGTCAGACCACGAAGCCTTTAAATATAATAAAAAAAATTAGGAGTCGTCGTGGCCTAAACGATAAGACACCCGGTGCATTCGTATGAAGCGATGCACTGGTGTTCGAATCCTGCAGGCGGGTACCAATTTTTCTAATAAAATACGTACTGAACAAATGTTCACGATTGACTTCCACGGTGAAGGAATAAGAACATCATCTACATAAAAACCATCACTCTGCCTATTTCTGCCGTGAAGCAGTAATGCGTTTCGGTTTGAAGGGTGGGGCAGCCGTTGTACTGTAAAAATTGAGGTTTTAGAACTTATGTCTCAAGACGGGTGGCGACATTTACCTTGTTAATGCCTATGGGCACCAGTGACCATATTATAACACCAGGTGGGCCCTGAGCTCATCCACACATCATAGCAATAAGCTTATCAAATACTATATCCCCTAAGAGTGTTGTTTAAAAAAACAAAGTACATACCCTCGCCCGCATAGTAGTCTCAAGGCTTCTATGTGTCCTTCGAAAGCAGCCCACAGCGTGGGAGTCATTCCAGATTCATCTTTATTATTGCATTCTTTGCGTGTCGCTTCCCGCAGTACCTCCAGTAGACCATCTTTGGCTGCTCTGAAAATTGAGGAGAAAACAAAATATGAATATGATTCCAGCGGCAAAGGTATCGATTTCAGTTAGTGATCTGGTACAGTGTTTAGGTACAACACTGTCGGGTATATCTCAGCGGCGTGAACGAAGAATTCGCTTTGATATTTATCAGATTTTCGACCCGCGAGTGTATTTCATTTTATAATATTACTACACTTTTTGCTCTAAGCCTAAGCCCGTAAGCCCTTAAAAATTTTTAAATAACTCCTGTCTTCGCTGTTATTAAAGAAATGTTATTACCCTGTTACCGATTTCCTAAATGATGAATTTTAGCACTCTCCTTATTTAAAATCTCAATTTTTCTGATCTCATTCTTAAATTTATATTGACTAGAGGTCCCGCAGTAGTCGAAATTCGACTATAAATAATTGGAATTGTAAGTTTGTACACTATTATGATTGTATTTTATACTTCTATAATCACAAATTTCGCCAAGACTATAAAAAATATTAACAAAGACAAACAATATTTAATCTATTCTCAATTTGACAACAGACGTCAAGAACAAAAGTTTGACAATAATTAGTATGCATGCGTGTGTGCATCAAATACATGGTATGTAGTGTGTGTAATGTTTTCTTCATTGATTTAATGTATCTTTTATGCATTATTTAAAAAAAATATTAGCATTGTGCACTTCTTCTCTATATTCTCTATAAGTGTGGGAAATTTCATACTCCTCTGTCCGCGCAATTTTCGTAAAAAGGGATACAAAGTTTTTGCTTCACGTATTAATATCGACGCTTGAAAGGCAAACGTGACTAAGCGACAATAACTGCTTGCTTTGTACATAAATGATAGGCAATAACCATATTCGATGCGCAAAAAAAAGATATTTCTAGGTCTATTAAAATCATTTCAATCCTACAGCTACTAGCTAGATTCGTTAAAATAAGATTTGTTTTCAGGTATTTCAACTTTAAATTAGTCTACTGTAAAGTTCACGGATTGTCGCTTAATCACGTTTGCCTTTCAAGCGTCGATATACAGATACTTAGTTTATAAATTAGCTGTAAGTTTCTCCTTCAATTTTGTATGCCAACAGGCAGAATGTACTGGGATTGAATATATTTTATACTAAGACCATACTTGTACCTGCATTTGTATTCAAATAAATAAATAATTATTATTATCTATTTTTATATCGCCCCCAAAACACCTCCCGGCACCAGTTTCCTCCCATCACTTTTAAATGATAGAAGCCTATAATAATTTCAAACTCGATGTTTTATTACAGAGATGGATATCGCGCTCACAAGTATGCGATAGACGAGATAAGTGTGCATATTTTACAAACGTTGGCGCCATTTATCATAGACATCAATAATCCCCAAATGAATCGCGCTAAGCCCTTTTTGACCGGGTAAGTGATATGTTTGTCTGTTCTTTCTTGTTACGGCTCACCCAGTGTTAATCAGGTAAGACCATCGACATCACATTGTTAACGCCAGCACCTTCTTTGAGACGTCTAAGATATCTCAGTTTTATTTACAAACACAAGCTTGTTGTGCCGATGAGTAGGTTACATAAGATACGAAATTCATTCGGGTGTTTGTCTGTGCGCCTGTACAACAAAATCCCACAAGATGTTCAGAACCTACATATATATAGGTTTAAGAAAACTATTAAAGAATATCGGTGCAATAAAGCTTACTATAAAATCAATGATTATCTAGAAGATTGCACAAAGTGGGAATGAGTTGCTCGCTCCGGGCATTTCAATATTGCAATAATTGTTACGTTATAATACTCACTGTAAAAATGAATATTTAAAAAATAATCTAATATTTAAAAAAAAGACATGCCCGCTGAGTTTCTTGCCAGTTCTTCTCAGGACGGAGGCTAGTTTTTGTGAATTGGCGGTAGTTCTTTTTGACGTTCAACAAGTATGTACTTTCAATTATGTTGAATAATTTTTTTTTGATTTGATTTAATTGTATTGCCGTGTCATCCCTCAAATCGGAATGCACGACTGCTTAGCGGCAGATATTAGGAAGTTAATGACTAACGAACTCTGCCTTAATTTAATGATGATTATATCCCTATTAATTTTTTAAATACCATTTATGTATTAGACAGACCTTGCCCTTGTGGTGTAGATTGGGAGAGGCCTATGTCCAGCAGTGGACGACTGTGGGCTGTTGATGATGATGATGATGATGAATTAAACAAACTATTTTTTTTTCGTCAGACATTTTGTATGACCAATAAGTTTTTAATATCAATTTCACTATCGCATAGGAATTTAATTTGAACTTAATCATCTTTATCTGCTTTAAAAGATAACGGTAATAGGATTCTTTTGTAAAATATATTTTGGGTACATTTATCGCTACATTTGTTTGGAATAGAAGCTTTATATCAGTTAAACAATAAAACAATTCAAGGGATCATAATCGTGATGGTATTTTTTTGGTGAAATATTAATGATTTCTATATTTAAGTTTAATTTAAGAAATAAAAAAATTAAACAATATTTAGTTTAATTATAATATAATTAGTTTAATTGATTTAAATAGCAGATTTATTGGACATAAATCTCCCATCATAATTCTCCCGACAATTCTTCGGTAAAATTAATAATATAATATGTTTTGTTATTGCTAAATGTTGATATAATAAAACATGCCGCTTAATAAGTATCCATAGCCTAACTGATATTTAAGCCAGTTTTTTTTTAGAATGGAAGGATTTGTGGTGACCCGAAGGCTTTTCCTTTCCTTTTTGAGGACAGGTAGGCGAGCACGTATTCAACCAGGACGGGGTCCAAATGTAATTGTTCGGAAACTGTACATATGCGAAATTTTCTTCTAAATTTCGTGGGCGAGATTCAGGCATCTGTCAAATTTCACCGTTTATTTCTGCCATGAAACACAGGTAGACCAAAGTGGGCCACGGGCAAGATCTGTCTAATACTTTTTCAAGGCGTAGTCTTCTGTGAGAAATTGGGGGGTCGAGGACCTCGGTCCTTCTCTTCTCCCCCTCTTCTTCTCTGGAGGCGCCGGAGTCCGACATAACCCGATCCGTTACCCCCTCGAACGGGTATCGTAAATGGATTCCCCAGCGTTAAAAAAAGTAAGATTACATTTAACCACCGCAACATTCGAGTGAAATAACATAAATTCTCCACGCCTGTTTTGTAACTGGATCAAATCAACGCTTATCCGTGACACCGTGAGTGAATGTTGTTCGAGAACAATCGGAACAATGGCCCGACACTTGACAGAGAAAGTGATTGCGTAACGTCATAATAGTCCCGTTGCCAATTGTCACCGTGTTCGGTCATTACACGGAATTTCATCCACCTCGCCTGAAGTATTTGGGCAAAAACTCGAATGATTTTTTTTTAAAAGTCGTAATCTTCATTGCTGATGCACGCTCCTAGACCGATTCATTGGTTCTGCAAATGGCCCGTCAAATTTGGAACATGCGTGGCGTCTATTCTAATGTCTATTTACAACGGCGATGAAAACAAAACATGTCGTAGAACTTGAAATATCGTTTTATTAAATTTAAACCCGCAAAAATTATAATCTCTGTAATTACTGATAGTAAGTAGAGTGTCTTATGAGTCAGCACGGGTAGGTATCACCGTGCTGCTATTGCTATGCTATTTCGAGCGTCAATCGGTAATGCATTTCAGTTCGAAAGATGGGTGAGCTGTGCAGACACACATTACTGGTGGTAGGACCTCTAGAGAGTCCGCGCGGGTGGGTACCACCACTCTGCTTATTTCAGCCGTGAAGCAGTAATGCGTTTCGGTTTGAAGGGTGGGGCAGCCGTTGTAACTATACCTGAGACTTTAGAACTTATGTCTTAAGGTGGGTGGCGCATTTACGTTGTAGATGTCTATGGGCTCCAGTAACCACTTAACACCAGGTGGGTTGTGAGCTCGTCCACCCATGTAAGCAATAAATAAATAAAAACTTAGACCTGATGTGGCAAGGTGGGTGGCATGTCACATTCACGTCGTGATGTCTATAAGCTAAGTACCCCTTAGAACAGGGTGTTCTGTTCGCATGTCAATGTAAAATAACTGGGTATCACCATCCTGCCTATTTCTGCGGCAGGATAACCGAAGTATCTACCATTCAAGCGAAACTCAAATCTTTTATCCAAAGTGGATTGCATCATTAGGATTTTGTGTGTACGGGAATGAGTAGCCACTTATCATCCGTGTCAAATAAATATGTATTATTTGAGAAATTCTCCATAGATCTGTCAACGAAAGTTAAGGAAGAAAAAGGAGCAGAAACTCAGCCTTGAACAAGTTAATAAACTAAAAGATGTACGATCGTGGGGTATGTGCAGATAAATAGTATTTGATATTCCTTGTTTAACAAATTGCATTTGTTTTTATTTCAGTCTATTTAATACGATTCTCGTATCCATATGTACATGGGGCGCGTTAGAGACGCGCAAGCCCGCCGCCGTCGAGCGGGGGCCAGGGAGGCGGATCTCGCCCGAGCCCTGGCCCTCTAAGTGTTTCGGGTCCCCCTCATATGTCGGTTTGGGGACCGGCGAGGGGGACCTAAGAAGACGTCGTGCAAGCTGCTCTGCACGCGTTTTACGCAAGAGCATCCGGGTGATGGAAGGCCGGCTATCCTCGATCCACGCTGGTTCTGATCCAGCGGGGTATTCCGTAGGATAGCTCACTCTAACCGGCTCCATCTAGGCGGGCTCCGGATAGCCTGCCGACCGAGAGGGCTGGTGGTCGTGGCGCCGACGACCGCCAGTCCGGCGTCCCAAGGGGGAGGGTGATGGGAGAGATGTGCTACGCACTAAACACTTCACTTTCCCCCCTTTGCCTTTTCATGAGTTCTGTCTCATGTGAGGTTTGGACGTTGGTTGTTGAGCGACAGGAGGTTTTAGTCGGTTCGACTCCGACATGCTCCGCCCGCCGTCCCCAGTGGAGGGCGGAAGTCCGGCGATTCCCTCCTGAACAAAATAAATAAATCCCTATG